ATCTGTATGAATGTCTATCTTTCGTGAGTATATATCAATTCTCCCAATCTATAGCATGATTTGTTTCATGCATATGTCGATGAACTGCTGATTTTATATCTAGTAATGCCTGTTCATCTGCTTTTGTTGATCTTGTGGTGTCTTCATTCTCGTCGTTACTACTATTGGGAAGAAAACTTATGCTAGCTGTTTTAGCTTTTGCTTTTTCGATGATGCGAGCTGAGCGCCGAACTCCGTCTTCAGGAGTCAGTACTAAAGGTTGCTGAGCACCGTGCTCTTTCAGCCGTCTATACATTTGTCTTGTAGTTCCTCCAATATATGTAGCTGGACAAGAAGAACCGTTCAACTCATAAACTATATTAGATTGCATGTCTTTCTTGATTAGATCTTTATTAGGAAAGAATTGACGTACAGCTTTTGGCGGTCTGCAAACCGCTATTAGTTTTGCTGTAGGTTTCAATTGTATAGCTATCTCTTTGATATCCTGAATGTATTTACGAGTAGGTTTTTCCATAAAAGGAACCTCAAATATTATTTGTTCTGTCCTGTTGTCATTGGCATTGCCATTGTCATTGATTGGTTTTGAATCTTGTTTTGGATCTTCACTTGTACCTTGAACAACACCTTGTATCGAAACCTCTGTCTGTTTCTGAATATATCTATTTAGAGTTGGCCTTATTTGATTTTCAATGAAATATGTTGGATACCCATTCTCTCGAGAAATCCTACGGATGAAATCGAATTCGTCATGCATGAGTGAGTATGTTGAGCAAATGCGTATTGCCCGATATATTAAATTACTAATTACTGACATTTTGTATTGCCTTGGGACAAATGATGTCCACCTCGTCAACAAACCAGTGTATGTAGGTTTTCTGAACACTACTGTTATAAACGATTTGGCTTTTCGTTTTAACAATACATCTAGCACTGATATACCCTGAAGGTTGTTCAAGCAAACAGAACAATATGAAAAAAGAACTGAAACAAAACAAAAAGCGACAATAATCAGAATTTTTTTCTCTTTCTTATGTCTTCCAGCTTACTATGATTGCCATACATTTTCTCTTTCTTCCTTATAAAGCTCCTTCTACTTTAGCATTCCTATAACTAATTCCTATTTATACAATTCCCAAACATATTAATTCTCAACGTCTCTATATGCATATCTCATATTAGAGTTTAGTCTCAATTATGTTTTCTTTAGTGTCTCATCATTCTAATTATTATATTCTTAATTTTGTCATACTGTTATACTAATAACTTTTTGTGTTTATTGTAGATTATATCTCGTCAAGGATAATAAATTTATCGAAACGTCGATGCTAAAATGAAAAATAGTCTTTTTCTTGCTGCTGTTAAAACAATTCAATTATATAATTATGATCATACTCCTTGTCTAGGTTACCGGAGTCTTGAAATCTTCTCGTTAAGAATTTTGTAAGCCCTTTAATTTCAATATTCAATATTGGAATATCGATGAAATAGTAATTAATTCATATGTGCAGTTAGCGACGATTTCATTTGTTGAAATACATTACTGCTGTGCTCTCTTATCTGCCAAAACTTTCACAATAAACCTATTTCATAGACTTGTGCAATAACACAACACGCACAACGTGTAGAGTACTGAGAAGAAAAATATCAACAGCATTCATCTACTCTTTTTTCTTCTTTTTTTCTATTAGCTAAATATCAGGTAACTCTATTAGTAATCAGAAACAGCTGTATATACTTTCGCAGGATTACATCGAAAGTAAGTCATAGCAAACAATTTTATTTTTGCTTTCAATTGCAAAGGTATAAATATATCCTTAGAGTTAAGGACTTTGAGTTATTTAGGTGTGTTACGGTAAGGAGTACTGACTTCAACACCATTCGAACTACGGATGACACCTTAACTTTAAAAATACTTTAATAAAGTAGTTAAAGTTAAAGTAGAGCTTTCCACTAAAGAAAAAGTCTTTTCAAGAAAAAAAACGACTGCTTTACAAAAAAACAAGTTTTTTTGATGAAAAAAATTATTTTCTTTTACAAAAAAAACTTTTTCATGAAAAAATCAAACTCGAAATTTCGAAGAACTCATTTCAGATTTGAATTCTTCAACCTCAAAACCTTCGATCAAACTTTATAGAAAATCACTTTTTTCTAAAAAAAAGTCCTTCCTTACTGAAAACTATTTTCACTTTAAAGTAAAGTTAAAATGCCACTCCTAATTCGCACCTACCACAGTCCTACAGTCATGTGCCCAAACTTTCCACACACCCATACCCACACCCTATTGATGTCATTACTCTTAAGGGTAGTACACGGAAAGAATTCAAGTTTCTCAACTCTAAAAAATATATATTTCACTTGAAAGTCATGTGGTGATTACTGTTGAAAATAATATTTAAAGTATTGAAGTGAATATACTTTACTTCGATACTATTTAAGGTATTATGATATTTAACTCTCGATACTCAATGTAAAAGTATTATGACATCTATATATATGAAAACAAGAGTCAAAATGAATACATTCGTAGATTTGTTAAGAAATCATTGATCACTTTCAGATGAAACAAACTACTAAATCTACTTCATGTCTATCACCATTCAATGGCAAAACGATTGTACTCGAACTTGGCCGTGAAATAGGCTTCAAAACTAAACAAGAACTAATCAACTATTTACGAGAACAACAAGCACACATTTCATATATTCTTACAGCTAGTGTACGTTCTTGTTCTATCCCACAAACACACTATTGAAGTTGACTTTTTTTAGACTGACTACGTTTTGGTAACGAGTAATGCAGATAGCTACAAGATACGTCGTGCCAAACAGCTTGGCTTGCCGCTGGTCAATGTTGAATATGTGTATGAATATCGTCGCTTGTCACCTGGACAAGCACAATTCGATATTGATAAATATATCATCAAATCAGTTGAAGATCAGGAAAACTTTGCAAAGACTGGCACTATTTCCATGGCAGGTATTAGACACTTTTTTTCTTAAAATCATGCCCAACATACCTGTTCACTAGGAACTCGACCAAGTGCCATCAAAATCAATAAGTTCGATTTGAATAAAATTAAACTGTGGAATTCGGATGATGCTGATTTACCCCGTTTTGATGAGATCACACATTGTGAAATCGGCAAATGGGCCATTTTCAAAGTACGAGTCTATGCATGTATAGCAATTGTTCTCTTATATTTTTGCTGTTTGTAACAGGAAACCAATGACAATTCTGATGTATTTTTTGTTCTCGAACTTCAAGTTATTCCAGAACAATACTACGATCGAACACTGAGTGATTATAGACTACGGTTTCGATACGAAAAACAGACCATTGTTGGTGAAGAACAACAACAAGATAAAAAAATATTGATACAGTATGCATTTAATGATGATCCAAACGAACAACAACAATTATTTGCATCGTACTATTATCGACTGGCTACAATGCCACGTGTAACACGAATGCGTGAGATGTTACCTGGTAAATTAGGA